TCCATTGACTGTCATTATAATTTAATAAACATTAATATTTCAAAAACTATAAGTTTTACAGGCACCAAAAGGCATAGCCATCATTTGGCACAGGAGCTTTACAGATATAAATTACAATGGCAGCTCGAGGACAAAGTAAGCAGGAGGAGAAGCATGGCAAAGTTGAGATGACTTGAATGGGAAACGATACACAATAGTGTGCATCTGATCACTAGTCCAGGCATAACAATCCTATGAGGGAGGCGCTTCCAACACAGGGGAAACAGATTTTCACAGGGGAACTGAATTTCGTACAACACCTGCATTAACCCTGTCAGGGCACTAGGGCTGTGACCCCCAGACTGGAAGAACGGCTCTAGCAGATTTAAGGAACAACCTCAGAGATCTCTGCCCAGAAGAGCACAGAGACGCTGCGCAGAAACCTCAAGCTCGGACCAAGCCTGCAGTGAAAAGTGCAGCCACCGTGTGAGAAAAGACGAGTTTACAGTTTATTGGAGAAAAACTTAACTAAAATAAATATAAAATAGAAATAAGAGGCAGACATTATTCATTTTAGAGGGATAAACCATTAGTTGTAACATCCATGTCTTTATTGAACAAGTGATTTATTCACGGGGTTTGTTGATTCTGTCACTCTCTGAACTCCTGACAATCAACTACATTTCTAATCAACAAACAGCGCGCGTCTTGCTGCGGGTGACTCACGTTGTTCGTCAAGGTCARAGAAAGAAAGAAACTCTCGAGAATGAGCTGAAATTAATTTTTAAACAACTATTTTAAACTTCTTACCTCGAAATATGTCATGAAGCGTAGAGCTGCGAAGTGCAAACAGTCCGCTGAGGGCGGAAGTCACGTCACGTGACGTGAAGTCACAACACGAGCCCTCTGCTGGAACACGTCGATAGGTCCGCCATCTTGGAAGGGGAGACTTCGGCCAAGAAATCCATTGAAGGGAATGGAGGAGATAAGGTTTTATCAYGATTAAAACATTTGACATTTCCGTAATAAACCACAAAAGTGCTAAAAYAAACAAAAGACCGCGTCTGTCAGTGTTGGGCTAAAACTAACTCAAATAGCCTAATTAAAAGATTAGCTATTAGGCACAAAGTTGTTTTTAACTTGTTATAGAATTTTAATGAGGACATTACATATCATGCAAAATGCACTTTTTTGAGGTTAAATGCATTTTGTTGTATACCTGGAGTCTCTAGGAATGCAGAAAATTGGAATTTATTTTCTCCCAGTGCTGCGAAAATATCTTTGCAGTTTTTTTGGGGTCATTTTCAACCTGCTCAGCTTTCTGTATTTTGTATCTCAATTATTATTATTATTTTGCAACAAAACTGCAGAGTTTGGACTTACCAACTACAGCTTCTTTGTTTTCATCTGGCTTTGGGTCAGACTCTGGCTCCAACATGCAAGGCTGGATGGAGCTCTGTTGTTGACATCTTGTTATTAATTAGTAAACAAATGTTTAGTCATAAACCTCTCAATCAAACTAGAATGGATCGCTCTGGAARCTGGATGGGGATTTAAAGAGACAGTCTCACAACAAGTCAAATTAGGAAAGAATGAAGATGTCTGTTTCGTAGAAACAGTTTGTTTTCAACATAAAAAATAATTGTGACACACCTCAGAAAAGGGGTGAAAGAGGGGCTTGTGGAGTTACAATAAGGAGGAATTCAGAGCAAAGCATTGCAGTGCCACATTATATAGACCCCAACTGAATGATTTAAACATGGAAAAGTATTTAAAAACATATCTCCTTTAATACAGTTATCTCTGTATTAACAATGATTCAATTTTACCAATCTATTTAGTTCAAAATTACATTATTACAAGTGAGTGAGGAAGTAACATGTCAAAAAACATCTGTAGCCAGAGTGAGATATATCAGGTTTTATTTCATGTGTACAATGACACACAGAAAARGCTACAAAATTAGACAACAGGCCAAAGCACTATAATGAAGGGAAAACTACTGGATCTCCATCAGAACTCTTCCAGT